TGTTCTACTTGGTCCACTATTTCCAACCGCTTGCGCTCACTCCTTGCGAACCCGCACACGTTCCACGACCCGACTCTCAGCTTGCGCTTTTCCCTATTGGAGATTTTGCGCACACCATCGTTCGCCTTCCGCTTCTTCTCGGACTTCTTCTGACTTGCTTGTTCGACTGCCCTGCTCGGTCCTTTCTTCGCCTCCGCCGCCCTCGCCTCTTGTCTCCTTACCTTCTCTGTAGCTGCTGTTTAGAGGGGGGGGGGCAAAACGGGACAAGTAAGTCTGTCCCGTCTGTCTGTGTCTGCCTGTCTGTGACCAGCCTCGATATATTACCCAGCAGATTCCAGCCCATTTCACCATCTGTTGCCCGAGCTGCCCTATTCCTTTTCATTCCGTGCTCGGTGCGTCGAGATAGTGCAGCGTCGGCACCCAACTTGAAGCAAGCAGGGAAGTTTCTGGCCCCTTGCAACACCGAGAGGAGGCGTCGTATGATTTTGAACCAAGACAGATAGCCTCGCACACCACACACCACACACCACACACACAGAGCCAGACATGGACAAACAGGAAGAGGGAGACACAGACCACAGCGAGGGCGAGACGGTGGGAGAAGGGTGTGCTATACACTGCTGCTGTTATCTATCGGCGGAGGAAGCAAGAGGAGAGATCAACATTTGTTTGCAGCAGCAGCAGCAGCAGCAGCAGCGGTCTCTCTCTCTTTCTTTCCGCGGAGAGGGGCACATGACGCCAACAACACACAGACAGACGCTGCTACCCACCACCATTGGTGCGACATGTACTGTTGTACGCCTCTCTACACTATTTTTGTGCGCGAAGGCCTAGTGTGCGACCACAGTGAGTGCCTCCCGTGCTAGCCTGGTTACTACCCATCACACGCTTGAACGCTTTTTGTGAGATTTCTCGATCAAAGCTCGAACCAACAAGCGAAGCACAACAACAGCAGAGACATTATTTTTTTAGCTGCCAGCCCTATATTTTAATATAATACCACACCCGGTCCCCTCCCTCCCCCCCGGAGTACACCTCTCTCCCCCCCGGTGTTTGCCATCGGGGTTGGGTTTTCGTCGCTTGGCAACGACGTTGTAAAACAAGCC